AGGGTATTCTACAGTGGCGTCGGATTAGGGCGCAGACATGTTGGACCACCTAGCCGCAGCCAATCCCGTGTCTCTCTGCGATCCAATGGCATGCGGGAAAGGAAGGTAGCCAACCAGAGAAGGACATGGATGAGATGTAGTATATAATGAGCGGCGTGGCCAGCATCGTAGACTCGGATGGAAGGGGCCTGACGCGTGGCTCTGGCTTCTGATTGGTCAATAAAGCCTGTTCTGTTGTACCGGTCTTTTACCTATTAGGGCGGTCATCCGATGTCCAAAAAAAAGTGGATCCATAGACATTGCCCGGGATTAGGACTTCTGCATCTAAAGATGTATTGGCAACTCAGCGACGACGACTTGGACAGTGAAAGCCAGCTGGACTGCATATGCGAATGCACCTACGATGAATGAACAGTCCTTTCTGCAAGTCTACAAGAACAAAGTCCCTCGTTAACTATTTGCATGAGCCACTATCCTGCAAGGTGTGGGATGTGGGGTGTGTCAACAGTGCGGGTAACTAAACCAGAAGCAGAGGACAACTTCAATCCTGAGGGGGAGGCATTGAAGCGACGGATCAGGGCGCAGACTTATTGGACCACCTCTCCTCAGCCAATCCTCTGTCTGTCTGCAATTCATCGCCATGCCTGGAAGATATGCAGCCAACCATAGTAAGACACGATTGAGGAGCAGTATGTAGTGGGCGACTCAGCCAGCCTGGTGGACTCGGATAGGTTTGGCTTGTGATTGTTCAATAAAGCCTGTTCTGTTGTACCAGTCCTCTTATACTTGGGCTCGGATATTCTACTTAATATAAGAAGCACAGCGAGTGTAAAGGACTTGGATGTGCTGTTAATAGCGTAGACATATTAGATCTGGCTGGCCTCACATAATGCTCTCTTTGTTTGGGTTCTAGCTTCATGTGGGAATATGTGCATCTAAGCGGAAACAGATATTTATGAGTTGAAGTAAGAGGGCCACAGCCAGTTATGTAGACCCTCAATAAAGTTGCCTGAGGTTTAGTTTTCATTGTTAGTCTTAAAATACTGAGGCATTGTCAGTCTACTCTGGAGTAGTGCCAGTATGAAATCCAGTTACAATGACAACTCCTCAATTTAAAATTGCGTTTAAAACTCTGTTAACAATTTGTTACTGCGTAATTGGCTGTATTTCTTTTGGTTGACAAGGAACGCTGCTATATAAATTTAGTGCAATGCGAAACCGCGTTAAAAAATATGACGGATTTCCAGTCTTAAATACTAGGATAAAGATTAAAAGGTATAAAAATTATAAATCTACAAGTGTGGTGTCCTATTAGAAAAAAATTACAATTGATTCTCTGTTTGCATATGTTTTATATTTCGTTTAATTTCAAATACCTGTGTAACGTTTGATGCTCTATCAGGTTCTTGTAATTTATGAATAACGAAGAAAGTAACTTAATGTCGTAGCAAGTGTGTCCCTAAATGCACTTTTATCTTCTTTTTAATTTTTTTAAACCGCATTTCGATTCTCAAACATTATTTTGTGAATCATTCCATTTTTGAAGAAATTTGGTTTAATGCAATTATAGTTGCATTTTACGTAAGATTTGGATTTCGTTTTTTTTTGAAAAATAGTATTGATTTAGTCACTTGACTACATCGGGCAGAAAAATTGCTTCTGGTCATGTAGTTCGTACATAAGTGGTTGTTTTAATAAATCGAGAAATACAAATAATTTTGTAAATGCTCTGTTCAGGTTAACCCCCATATTTTGCTATTTTGTGTTTTGAATTTATTCATTTAAGGCGATTTTTTCTACTTTTTTGGCTCATGGAACGATTTGATTCCTGAAGACACCTTTTTAAGGGGTTATCCTGACTTTTTTTTACAAATTCATTTTTCTCCGTTCCAAGTTGCGTTACCTGTTTACCATTCTTGCGTTTTTTCTATTTCGAAAACTTAATGTGAATGGTAATTCACTCCTTTTCATACACACACTCTTTTTCCGTGAACTATTAATTTCATACGTACAATTTCTGTGCATCATACTCTTTTCAATGTTGGTATCCTGTAAGTAATACAGAAATTATGCATCGCGGGTATACATTTCTGTTGAGGCATTTTTGAGGGACCAAAATCAGGTCAAGTCACATCCAATCAATGCGTTCTATATTCAATCCATTTTTTTCATTTAAATGTTTGTCTAAATTGTTTTTCAAAGGTGCTCTGCTAACAATTCTGTATGTTGTTTGGTGTGTGTCTCAATTTCACCTTAAAAATATAATTCTTTAAGTTGTATTACCTGTCTCTTATATGCGGTAAATTGTTACTAGGCTCCTATGGTTATGTTGGTAACTGTATGGAATTTTAAAACAGTTAAGACTGCCAAATCCTTGATCCTGCTGTTGCGCAGAAAGATTGCCCGTTGTTAACGTTCTATTTTTTGCCTTCACTGAACATTGTAGTGCCGCTGACGTTATTATAAACAGGATATTTTCTGCATTTTTTACTTTCCTGATTCACTTTTTTTAATCCTAAACATCCCTTTGTAACATTAAATGTAGATCGTAAATCTTAGGAACTCGATTTTGCTCACTAATTGTCTTTTTCATACAAAGCCACATTTTTCATCGGTATAAAATCGTCAAATTTTTTTTGTTTGCAGTCGTTTTATTTCTTTTAGTGATGACGAGGAATATTGAAAAATTATCTCCTATGGTTTCAATTTTCACAGAATGTCAGGGAACTTCGCTTTCCCATGACCGACTTCTGGCTTCACTAACAGATTTGTATAATAAGGCAAGTTCTCATACCATGTAATGTTAAATTTTGTCGCATAGTATTCGGCGTTTTTCCTCTCAAAATTTTTTTCGTGACTATAGTGGGTCGCTTAAAGTCTTTCTTTGATGGTACTAATAGTAAATTCACTGGATCTTTTCGTTTCAACTAGATGCCCTTTTCACACTTCGCAGAGGATTTTTTCGAGCTCTGTCGTTACTCCCTCATTAATTCAGAACGGACAGTATTTAGAGAGCGTACGCTTGATTTTATTGTCCGTGCCGTTGTTCACATCAGTGCGAACGCTGCTGAAAGAGAAGATGGAACTGTTCGGAATTTGTTGCTTGTCAAGACGTTTCTCTTTTGTGCGAAGGTGGGTCGAGTAACTCTTTTCACACCAGTATGCTGGCTTATTATGGTTGGACTTTTTCGCTTCACTCATTTAAATTCCACTCAATATTGTTCTACATTCATGTTGATTTTCTTCTATGCGTTTAGAAACCAATACTCTTCCTGTTCTTTTTTGTATCGTCCCTTTTACAATTTAGTAACTTGCGTCTTTTTTAAATGGACTTATGTGTAAATCTGTGTGTCTAGTTTCGAACGGCTTTGGTCGTATATATGACATTTGTTTTGCACCCATTGGTTTCTGCTCACTTGATTTCAAAGTTTATATATATTATCTATGCCGTCATTGTACCTCAACTTTATGTACTACCTACATAAGATTTTGTCATTTCCACAGTACCATGAATGCGTCAACCCCGCTCCTCGCCTTCGATGCACTCAGTTAATCCACAAGTTGCTTGAAGCCATGGGGTCGGAAGCCTGTCTTCCGGTTGAATTATTTGACATCATCCAACGTGTTCTACTTCGTCGTGCCACCGACGTAAAGGTAAGGGGTTTCGTTATTGGTTTGCGAAATTCTATGCTTTTGCCAATGTCTTCAATATCACAATGATCGCCTTAAGTAGAAATAAGTTAACTTCTTTCGCAATTGTTGAATATGATCTGATGTGTCTGTGATGATCGAAAACAGGCCCCGACTCCTTTAAGAAAAGCGTGTCACGTATTACTTTCATTGGAGGCCTATTAAAGTGTGTTCATAGAACAAATTCCATAGGTCTGGGGTTTGAGTCGTTCGCTTTTTCACCATGCCCGGTATCTGCTCGCGCACGTTTCCCTAAAGCGCTCGGAAACTAACGTTGAAACCATCTCCAGTCATTTTCATTTTCCCCGCTTGTAAATTCCTTTAACGACTAAGTCAAATTTCTGAGGTTTTCCCCTCATTTCAGTTCATTATTTGCATTTTATTATTTGAATGTCTGTCATTCTTAAACTTCCCCTAATACTTCCAGCATACGGTCCGCGTCCAGGCCGTGCATGGTCTTGCCCGTTTGCAGAGTCCCACTGACAGAGAGTGTCCAATTATCAAGGAGCTTCTATGGCTTTCCCGTCATGATACTTCACCCGACGTGCGTCGAGCTGCTGTGGCCGCCATCGTTTTAACCACCTTTACTCTGTCCGTCGTTGTGGAACGCTGTAGAGATGTTTCTGACGCGGTGCGAAAGACTGCTTATAACATTCTTGCGGAGCGCTCTGTCTTACGGCCCTTGTCGATTGCAAAGCGAATCTCCATTCTCCAGGATGGCCTGACTGATACATCCCGTAAGCTATATTGATAATGTACTCGTGTTTACTAGGTCTAAACCGATGCATAGTTTCCCCACAGATCTTTTATTGCACTGAAAACTTTATCGTGTAAAATTCTTGCGCAATGTTTAGAGTAACTGGACTACTGACTTAGTAGATGACTTCATTTGGTCATTTTTGAGCGAAACCTAGTTTAAAAATCCACTTGAAGTTGAATAGTTGCCGCGTATTGCTACCAGGTATTGCAGGTATAGTTTATAACCTGAACTAAACTGAGCTTATTTTCCCTTCGGGAAGCGAGTTGATTTGAGAACTTCCATCGCACTAATTAGTTTCACCGGCCACCATGAATTGTCGGCCGTGGTTTGAGAACCCTTTTTGGAAATTATATTTTGGGTAGTTACAATTTTATTTAAATTCTATTTATTTTTACGTTCAGCACCTACTTATCGTTGTCGAATGTAAGTGAGTGTGTCACTAGTGTTATGTCACTTGGATATTTTTTTAGATGATGTTCGCAAGGCAGCGGAATCGCTGGTTATGGCCTGGTTCAAGCTGGTTGAACAGGATCCTATTATCCTGTTACGTCGTCTGGACACGGAGGGTGTGCCCAAAACTAGCCGCCTCTGTCTTGAACATCTCCTTCCTAATTTAAGTGAAGATACTCTTATAGCTGTGGTTTCCAAGTGGTCATCGGACTACCTTGACGACAAGTATGTTCTTTTTTCGTCGATCTTTTTTAGAACTCAAATTAATGTATTCAGTGGTTTGCACCCATGCTTGTTATTCGCAAACTTGTCTTACCTCTACCGGTCTTAATTAAGTTGGATAAGTTAGGAGTTCGACCATCAGCTCTGTACGTTCGTAACATTTATTGTGTGGTCATCCCATTATTCTCATTCTCAATGAAGGTAATTTGGTTTGCGCGTTCTGACATGCCAGCAAGGTAAACCCACACTACTTAATCATTGACAATAGTGCAGGACAACCTAAGACAGACCAGGGGGCGCTCCTTAGAACATGCCTTTTGTGTATCAAAGAGCAGACGTATTATATGTCGGGTTCCCATGATATTAAAGCAGGGCTTAAACCACGGGAAGGAACGCGTGTAGGTATGCAAGGCTACAAGTTTCTATGTTCACAGGTTTTCCCATGGTTGAAGTACTGGCAAAATCAGATTCGAGTGAGTTGCCGAGAATATTGGTCGTTTGGCCTTTTATGGCTAGACGGAGTCTGTATTCCCGAGATTATTTTGTTAGGTGTTTCAGCATTAGAATCAGTTTTGTGCCATATTTTGCTTGTTATTTACCATGAGGATGCGTTACTGTTACTTCAACATTAATCTGTTATCTTTCTTCCCTTTTAGCCACATTCCTAAGCCTGATCGATGCTCCGTAGAGTGTGTCTTCTTTTGGCGCGTGATCTTGGAATACTTGTTAAAGCAGCAGAATTCGGTGGATGAGTTCGCGGGGAGGGAAGACGCGAATGAAGAGCTCGGAAGGAAAAGTGAAATCTCTTCCAGTCAGATAACAGCTCTAATCGAGCTTATTATGCCTTCTGTGTCAGATTACGTTGACTTTATAATTCAGTAAGTTCGATTTCTCAGCAATCCTCAGGGCCAATTAAGGAAATTTTAAACTCCTCTTATGCATAAAATTCACCGGTCCGCTTTTTGTTCCTACCTAAAATGTCGGATTTTTCAAAGGTTAATCTAAGAACTTGGACAAAGCATGTTTTTATTTTTCCTTATAAAATTTGCTGTTAAGATGGAGGGTAGTTCTATGTGGCTGAGTGCTGTTTCAGACGTACTGCGATGCGGTGGGTCTCGACAAAAAACGGACTTGGCCAATACGCAGAGTGATGTGGGGGAGGCGTTTCTTTTCTTTTAACCTGGTTCTTCTAACTTCGTGTACTTAATACAAAGCTTACCTGTTTACTGGGTTATGAAACCGTATAAGTTAGAATAAAGGAGAATCGTATCAATGAAAGTAATTTTCGGAAGTGTGTGTCTCATTTCTTGCCACGCCGCCCGCAAAACACCATTTCAGGTGATACAATTGCGAATATTTTCCCACCTATCTAGACGTGTGGAGAGCCTCCTCGTTTTACTTCGTGCGGACGTCGATTATAACGAAAATGTTATGGAGGCTGAGAGTGTCTTGGAACATGTTCTTCTTCTATGTGAGTCACTCGACCTCTCTGATGAATTCGGACGGCGTCGTCTTTTTGATGTTGTTCGTGGATGGCTTATCAGTCCGAGGGTGCCTGCAAGCCTCACACCTTCGTTGTTGCAACTGTACTTTAATCTAGAATCAAATGTAGTAAGTCATTATTTGATAAAAAAGACTAGAAGTCAATGTTCCCATTTATTTGCACGAGCCTTCTTGCCGTTAGCCCATAGTCTGTTCTTGTTTTTTGTCTATCTCAAGCTTCCATGGATATGCCGTGTGTTCTTTGTTATTTTATTTTAAACCAGTTGTTTGGATATATATATATTATAAAATGTCTTTAGCAAAACCGGGTCCTGAAGGTGACGGAGATGATATCGGAATTGTTGGATTCTGCAGAAGAGGATGCAAAAACACAGTCATCATCATCTGCTGCTGCCACAGAGACAGTGAGTGGTGTGAACAACAATCAGACTTACGTGGCGCAAACACCCACCCATGACATCACTGAAAAAACCGCTACCAACTTAGCATGCAAGCCGCTGAACAAGGCCCGGGAGACTTACCTTCGAATCAAGGTACAAATATTGGTCAGAACTACCAATTTCCTAGTACAATTTCCTTTTGACTACCTTTGTTTTATTTGCTCTACTGCGCATTTACATTTCAGAATATAGAATTCCGAGGTCGTTTATGGAGTGCGGTGTACGCTGTTTTGGCACAAGTTACCTTGCGCATGCGCAAATTCACCAGGACTGTGCTATACTTTTATGATGTTGTGTCAACAAAGACGTTTCAAAGTATATTTAAAAATCTCGAATAAATATACTAAGAAGTATGTGCTTTAAATTGACATGCATAAAGGCTGTCAACAGTGCGAAGAATCGTTAGTCGAGTTTTCGTCTACTTTTAGCTTTGCCTTATACACGTAAGGCATGTTCGAGAATAACTTGATAGGTATTCCCCTTATTAGTAATACACTACTGTAATTTTTCAACTCACACTTTTTCCTTTTGCGTAGGTGGCTGAATTAAAAGTAAAGCTGAATGAACTGAACGAGTCCCTTAATGAGTGCGTTCGGATAAAAGACTTCGAACGTGCCACTTCCCTTCGTGACGAATGCGCCAAACTCGAGGAAGAGCGTTCTATACTTCTACACGAGCTTACTGGAGTCCGTTTACCCGGTTGGTACGTTTGACTTGTCAACACTTACCCGTATCCCGCTTGTGCTGATTCCAGCATGTTGGGTCTTGAAGTTGCAGGATGCAAATCTTTTTTAAAAAATAAAATAGTTTAATGTGACCACATAAAACTGCAATTTACGAATATATTGATAGTCCCCAGTACCGAAATTTTTCGATGATGTTCCTCCAAAATTGCGTCTCATTTCTTTCGGTATCCAGTTCCCATTGTTGATAAATTTAAAATAAGCTCATTGGTGCTGTGTGTTAAGTTATATAGCAGCGTTACTGCGCCATAATAATGTGAGCTTCGCTTTCAACCAACAGACTGGTCACTTTGTTGTGTTTTTTATTTTATTGTCCGGACGCCTATGTCGATCGTAGTTAGCTACTGTACAAGCTCTTCACCAGATCACTTCGGTGTCCGCGTGTGTGCGATTTAACGCCACATTTTACCCCCTAAGATCTCATTACTAAACAGGTCAATAATCGATACTACGATTCCTTATGTATCTTCACGGATTTGTCAACATTGCTTTAGTTGTTGCTTTAAAATCTCATTGAATCTCACGAGTTAACTACGGGACCGTTTTTAATGAATAATTAGGTGTTGGCTTTGGAAGAGCCAAACAGTCTCAAAGCATTTTTTGCTTTTCAATTTCCAGTACTCCTGAAACACTCAACCGTCCGGCGCTTCCAGCTCCATCCTGTCCGCCCCCTGAAATCGCCACAAAAGCAGAAGAAGTTGAGGAAGAAGCGGAGGAAGAGGATTATGAAGATGGTGTTGGCGCGATTCCCGAGCTTTGCCTTGTGCGGCAACAAATCAAATATCTTTCACAGCTCTCAGCAGACGTTGTGCTGAAAGCCAACAAAATGGTTGGAATCACAATTCAGAAGTCTCCCACACTTTGGCTCCTACCCCCCGCCCTCAGGTCTCTTCTTTATAGCCTCGTAAGTCATAAGATGTTTAAGGGTTTGTGTGTCCTTTCCTCGAATCAATCATGCCCTAAAGCTTCAGTCAACCAGCAAGAATGCAACCCCGCTTTGCCCTTAACAAAGCTATCAAAACACCTAAAATAGCAGCCATCCGATATGAGCCTGGCTACCGACAGAAGCAGGCCATTAAGTCGTATAAACAGCACAAACGGCTATTTGTAACATTGTCGCTCTCAATTAAAATGTGGTGCTTTTATTTTTAGATCCTCCCGAGCGTTCAACACACTGATTTGGCAGTTCGGAACCAGGCGATTCTTGCACTCGGTCTTTGTTGCACTCTTGATTTAACCCTCGCCAAAAGTTACTTAACACTTTTTTATGAGGTAAGTTGTCTACACGAGCGTGTCGCGATCAAACGTTTTGGGATTACCTATAATGCATGTTTTTAACGAAATTTGTAGGCCATAAAGCTTGACCATGCAACGGTTAGCGTGACAGCTATTAATTGCATCATCGATGTCTTCTTGATCTTTGGACTTCAACATTTTCTTGAGGTATCCGAAAAACTCGATGAGACCGACTTAGATATTGGTATGCTTATTATTTACTGTGTTTTCCAGTTAATTGTGCTCCGGCGTTACGTGGTCAGATGGTCGTGTTTTAACTTTACATGGGAATCGTCGTTATGTGATCGCGTTTCCAAAACTACTATGTAAATGCCTGGACGGGATTCTTTATTGTGTAGTGTTTTGATGTCCAGCGTATCTTATCTCCACAAAATCTTACTTTCAGGCCTTTAAACCAAAAATCCAGTAAACGGGGGCCCGGAATTTTCAGATAGATTAAGTTATTGTTTCTTTTGCAGTCCTTAAGTTAGGAGTGCTCGATATTTTAGGTGACCTCGTTTTACTCAAGGGTGGCCTTCCCAACTCGACTCCCTTTAATGCAACTACTTCGGAAACAATTAATTTAGCTCTTCGACTGTTGGCACCTGTTGTGGAGTTAATTGACAATGACGTAAGTCCATTGTTCTAAAATTTCGATAATTGAGTCCTTTTTGGACTTTATTCTTCTCAATCTCGCCAGTTTTCCCTTTGCGTCACCGTGTTTATATCCTAACATCTACCTTTCACTATATTTGCAAATCAAGTGCCTACACTTTACATTCGTTTTTCCCTTGTGGCAACCTTATCTTGGCTGTCATGTGACATACACACGTCGATCGGAAAGCTAAACACTAGGCCAAAATTACCAATTGCCACCTATCCTGTTGGCCTTAGTCAATAGTTTGTGCACGTTTTCTAATGTTTGCCTCATACGTAGCCACGAATTGGTTGTGTGAGGTGACTTGCGTTTTGGCCTACAAGAGTTGTGATTTCGTTGTTAACGTCTTGCCTGAATATTTTGTTACGTACGGTTTCCTCGTTTGTGGACATATAAGGACTCTATTTTATGTACTCACGTCACAAAATCTAAAATCCCTTATTAATACTTGTTATCCATCTTCAGGACGCGGATCTCCGCACAGCAGCTGGCATAGGGGTGGCAAAACTCTTTATATTCGATCGAGTCATGTCAGGCAAACTTATCTCTCGGTTGCTCCTTCTTTGGTTCAATCCTCAAACAGCCGACTTACCAACATTAAGCCAATCACTGGGTGTTTTCTTTACTGATTACGCCTGTTCCAGCCCCGAGCGTCAAGCTTGTTTGGCAGATGCCGTGCTGCCGACACTGGCGAGCGTCCTTGCTGCTCCAGCCTCCTCTCCGCTGTCTGAAATTGATCCGGGCCTTGTCGTGGGCCTCCTTGTTCGTTTGACCGACGCGTCTTGTCTCTTTTCTAGTGCCCAGCAGAAATTGACTGCGCAAATTGAGTGTGGTTCTAGCAATACCGTAAGAACTGCTGCGCAGTGTTTTAGCTATTTGTGTATTTAAATGCCTCGTTAAAAGGATTTTAGCCATGTTTGCACTCATCCCACTTTACAATTGATTTTTGTCGAGATTCGCACCTTTTAACTGGTGTGTCAAGTTCAGTAAAGTTCATCAGGAATATCAAATTTCGGTCTATACGCTGGCTTCCATTATCTATAATTTCTTGTCAGGTTCATCTTTCTGTTATGCCACTTGAACTCCCGAGAATTTGATATGTTTATAAATTACATCACGTGGTCGCTTTGTCTAATATTTTTAATTTTTTTAGAATGCTACTTTGACTCAATGTCCCTAGCCAAAATTCGTGATGTTCTGTTGCACTTAACCGATCTTAGACGCTAACGTTGTTACAAATCTGTCCTAAGCAAGTCAGATAAAGTTCGAATTTTACTATCATAAATGAATGATGGGTTTACATGAGACAGTTGGACCTGTCATTTCTCTCTTAGTGTGTGCGCTAATCATTGACACAGTTCGCATTCATCACCTATGAATTCGCCTTAAATCTATCGCGTCTTCTTTTGCAGGATAATCCATGTCATGATGACCTAGCGATGCGCCTCTGTAATCGTGTTCTGAACGCTCCCCAATCTGCAGAAGCTCGTCTTTACATCCGCGTGTTAAGTCAGCTTCGTCTCTCCATTCAGAAGCCGCTCTTGTACAAAGACCTCCTTCGTATGACGGATCTCATGTTTAAGGTGCCTGAACTGCTTACTTCCGTCTTTACAACAGTCGGCCACTATTATCTAACAATACGGCCATTTTTGTCTTTTATACCGTTTAATCTTGATTACTTGTCCATGTTTAACAGTCAGGTAATCGTCCGTTCCATGGCGGTATTTATTGATCATTAGGCTCAACGCCTTCGCGTCTGCTGCCTTTGCTTGAAATACCAGTATGGTCCTGGGAGGGTTTAGCTGTAGGTCGGATGTACCTAATAAAAACATACTTCTCGTTTGTGAAAGGTCTTAAGTACTGTTAGACAAATTCCTGTTTAATAACTGCTTATATTTAAGTGTTCACTGTTTAGATGTTAGCATCCCTTTTCAGCGCCGTGATGAGAGATCCACTCAGCTCTCCCATCTATCGTTTTATGGTTTGTATGTTCGCAGACCCCGAAGCTGCACGTAATCCGTGTTCTATCTTGTGCTAATTATAGTTCTCTTGTTGACACTATAAATTTGCCCACACGGTCTTTTGTGTCAAAACATGCGACTTAGTCTTAACCACCTACTGTGACTTCAATCTGACCGTAAGGCCTTATTTGACTTTTTTCATGTTGAAGCTCCTTCCCCAAAGTAGGGTAGGTTTCGTTGTTTCCTGTTTGGAATCTTTTGTTTTGATGTCTTTCACAATCACTACGTTTGGTCACCTTTATATCCATAAGTCGTCCTCTGTACTACACCATACCAGTGGCACTCCATTTACAGGATGTTTTAATGTTCCCCGACCGTTTTGGTTTTTCGCATGTAAAGGCTGTTCCATGTTTCCAATTTTGACATGTATTTGGTTTATGTAATAATTACTTTTTGTAATATGGAAAAGGGTTTTACCAATCAAAACGAGAAAAATTTACTTCCTAGGTCAGTTATTTTGTGTTAATAGATCTCGAGCACAATGTTCGTCAATCTTAAGGTTAACCTGCAGTCACCTATTCAGCATTATTCAAGTTCGTAGCCAAAGTAGAAACAAAAACACTACATCTGTTACGAGTTCATTAAGCCACCGTTGTGTTTATGCCACCTGTACACTACTAAAAAATTGTAATGTCCCATAAGGTTTTCCTCCAAGTTCAGTCATTTTCACTAGCCCTCCTGACCTCATTGAACAGTCAATTTGGCTATTTTCGCTCCGGGGAGTTTGTTCGTTTATCGTTATCCACCTATCAATGTGTACTGAGGTGGTATGAATTTCGCTTAGTTTCGAGTATTCCGCAATTTATCTTTTTATTTAATATTTTCGTCCTTTTCGCGTGTGATAACCACACATTTACCCGACGGAAACACACGACACTGGAGCTAGATGTCAGCCATTTAACCACTCAAGTTTCGTGGCTTAGCTTAGCACTACCCTACAACCCTCCAATTAACAGCCCTTGAAAAGCCAGAAAAGCGACACTAGACGGTGACTGCAGATACGGCCGTTCATTAGCGTCACGCCAGCCAATCGTGGCTTTTTGTGAGAATGAGTGAGCGGGTGACAGACGACTGGTAATATTAACCAATGAAAAATGGATGGGTCGTTGGCAGCGTCAGTTCGGTAAACGGACTTCACTCACACGTGATCTCTGATATTCCTCTAAATAAGTATTTTCTACCTATGTTTGTTTTCATCTTAGCAGAAGGCCGAACGGAGCTCTCACCTGTGTTTGCATCGCTTCAAAAAAAACATAATCGCCAGTGTTTCTGCTTCGGGTTTGTCAATGAATGACTTTCTTCTGGAAGAATCTGACCACATGCAACAGGACGATGCGTCGGAGGCAGTAAAAGCGCGGAATGACGATTTGGAGGAGGATGCTGATCGCCCCTCGCTACTTGGACCAGCGGCACCATCCCAACAACTGATAAATACAGACGAGCCATCACGGAGAAATTCGATTGTCCGAAACGATGAACTGCGCAGCACACTGGCTGGCCTTAACTTCCGTGGTAACCTAAATTATACATATGCGTTATTCCATCTAGTCAGAGTGTGATTGGGGGCTTTGTTTTTACAACAGAGAAATACCTGTCATGAATAAAAAGTTTTCGGAAATTCGCCTAATGGTAGAAAAGTAACATTCGATGTTGAGCTCACTTTTTGGACAATTGGTTGTAAATAGGCTTCTTTGTGAGATATTACTTGGAACCGTATCACTTCCTAGCCCATTTTGTTGTTCTTATGGCAGTCTTAGATTGACCTCATAAAAGTGCCGTTCGTAGTTTGGGTAATTTTGTAGTGATTTTGAGGTAAATGTGCATAAATTCAAGACGAAATTAACTTTACCGAGTTATGTGTTTGAGATCGTGGGTTTAATTTGCTGTGAATCGCGTTGATTCACACTTGTTACTTCGGTTGCTGCATTCGCCTGCACAATGTCCCCCTTTTCACAGCAAGCTGTCAGCTCAGCGGAACCTCAACTCGCCCCTCATTATCGCGAACGAACGTCCTGGATTATCACTACGTGTGATAACATTCACCTAGGTCTCGATGTTATTACACACGTTCAAACGCCTCACAAGACACGACACCAAATTGAGTCCTGAAGTAAACGGTTGTGTCCACGTCCTGTCCAGGCTTCTTTGTCATCGCGAGTAGCAAGGTGGCTTAACAGGGCCACATTCAACTTACTGGCTTCGACGTAGTTCAAGACCGCATGCGGGGGTCCGCAACAATATGTTTGAATATTAACTACATTGAGATAGAAGGTGCTTGTAAAACTTCTGGTGTCATGCACTAAGCCTCCAAATGTTATCGCAATATCGTGTGACATTAAATTCGCTGGTGATTTTAAACTACTTACTATCAAATGGCGACATCTTAAGTTCTCGTGTTTCATGATTTTGTTATTCCTTGACGTAGTTTCAGTCAGTGTCGCGGTTTATCCCGTGCGTCTCAATCGTGTTTGATACGCGGTAATTGCTTTAGCCGTCTTTTTCACCGTCAGAGACATATTACCGCGCTGTTATATATCTACCTTCTTCATACTTCATTATTGAAATCTTTAACTTTGTCTTTTGAAGGTCCCCCCATGCCATCGTGTCTCCTCGTTTTCTCCGACGTGGACGATGATAAGAGTGAGGAAGATGCTGACGATGAAGTAATGGGAGAAAGATTCACTTCTTCCAAGTGCAAAGAAGTCGAAAAGGCCGGTAGTAAGCGTGCCCGTGTGCGCAAAACACCGGCCACAACGGGTCGCGTGAGGTCTACTCCATCCTCACAGGTTAGATTGCATGCTTACTAAATCCCCGGCCTTTTGGTGGCCGGTGACCGCGAATATGCGTGGTGTCGAACATACGGGTTCTACTGCTCAAGAGCTCGTAAATTACGCAATCTTTTGCAGCGCATTTAACCATATCCTTGCTCATTCGCAAAAGTAATTCTTTTTAATTCACAGAAGACTTACAGTTGTGTTACTTTACGTAAATTTCCACTTTTGTTATTTTTTTGCGTCGGTTTTCCATGAAAATTTCTGTCAAGCGCTATGGTCCCCATGTCTGCGTAAAGTTCAAGTACGAGCATTTCTCATCCTGTGAGCTAATTCATTGCATGTAGTTTTGGTCTCCAAACATGATGTCCTTATCCCTAACGTGTTATACGTTGATTTTAGGACGTTAGTGTGACAATGCCTCCTCCAAGCACAAGCCGACGAAATGTTCGCAAAATACCATCGAAGAAGGTGGAAACTTCGCACTCGAATATCCGGCGGACTTCTGTACGGTCATCAGCCAGAAAAAAGACCTAGTGGTTCTCTGTATCTTTCAATTTTTTACCCTGTACACATCTGTGCACTTTCTAACAGGAATTTTATCAATTTAATCAATCAATGTAATCAATCTATATTAATTTGTTCTATTTTGTTGGTTGTTTAAAAATTTCGTGCTCTAGTTCATTGTCTTCGTGTCATCTTGATGATTTGGTTTCTTCGTGTAAAACAAAGTCTCAATCGATTTGCACCACATACATAAATACACCGTGCCAACGCCTGAGTTGATTCACGTGGTCCGAAAAAGCCTAATAAAAATTAGGGCAAATGAGATTGGTCCACGAGAGCCTGTTTTGTGCGGGTTTTGAGAGACTTCCATGGAAAACTTTATGGAGGTACGCCTAGCGTCTAGACTGTGCATTTGAATTACCAACGTTTTCTTTGGGTGCGCGTAACCCGATCTGCTCCCCGGGTGCCTCTTTGGTACTGTGGCTTTGTCTCTGAGTTCAACTTAGTCGAATACAAGGACTCCAACTGTCGTATTAAGACACTTAAGTGTGGCATTGACTTAGGGGTTATAAAACTTTCATTTTTCGAAATTATGTGAGGCTGTTTGTTGCGAATTTCCGGTTAATTCTGCTGCCTTCTAATTTTATCGGCTGCATTAAATTTAACACATCAAATCTACTTATCTGTATTCGAGTTACTATTTACTGGACTTGTAGTTGATAGCGGCCAATGAAAACGCATAGCTTGCAAATTTTTGATATGTAACTCGCATTGATTGCAAATTGAAGAATACCAAAGCCCTAATGTGAGGACAGATGATATTGCCATGCCACACAACTAAACTAAGTCGCCATGCATCCTGGTTCATCTTACCAGCTGCGCCTTCTGTTGTGTTTATGCTTTTCATCCCTTCATTTTCAAACAGACGACAGCTGCATTTGCCCAAATGAATGAAGGTATACACATGTGCGAAGACTGTTGAGGACCTTTTACCGCGAGGCTAACCCAGAAAGACAATAAGTCCAGAGATGGTAGGCACGACCGTTTACTAGACCGCTCAACGAAGTTGTGTCGTTTTACAGTTGAGTGGACATGTAAAATGTGAACAGGCGTTTGTGAGGACACATGACCAATGCGGGAAGTGGTGGTGGTGATGGTACATTCAGCGGGGTGATGAACCAG